AAAAAAGCGTCACGCCCTTTGGGCACCCACACTGGTTTCACAAGGCTTTGTATAACATCACATGAGCATGAAAACCAGAACCAAACTTGCAAAACCCGACCAAAATCGACATTAGGTTTGACGGCAGAAATGCTTCAAACGTATTCATACCGCCTTTCCAAACGATTTCGAAAACTGTGTAGATCCTTTTGCAGGAATAACACTACACCTGCACCTCACTAATAACACGAATTATCTTGCTCTAGAAAATGGGCCGAATCTGTTGCGTACGATCCCACGGCTTCTATGAATACATCACTCAAGTTGCTCAAAAGCCAATCAAAGTAATAATAAGACCCCATGAAATCTTTCTTTCAGATGAAGCAGCCATACCAGCCACGCGAAAATTTCCTTTTTTCTAGTAAACTGAAGAGTAAATACGCACCGGCTCTTGAACACTGCTATCAACTATCAACTACGAGAGAAACGGAGAACCATCGACACCATTTGCGCGACCCAAGGGTACGGTATAGCTTCCTGCTGTAAAATCAAATGACTTCTAAAACATAAATAACAACCTCCTTTGTAATTCGCGGAGTTCTTCATCCATTTCCGATTCAAGATTGTTTTTTCTTCGGAGAAGCTCATCAAGTGAGAGTTCACGCAACTGCAATAGCACAAAACTGATAACATGCGAAAAAAAAGAACATGAAGGATGTCAGTTATTTATTGGTTGCTAAACATAATCATTCAGAATTAATTTTTCCCCAAAAATTCAGAAAATCACTTTTATGTTGGCTGTGGACAATGCAATAAACTAACCCACTTGGATCCGCTCCTGCTAATCCTATCTTACTCTATTTGGGAGTTCCTAAAGTAAAAACTAGCGACCTTTTGTCGCCTGTACCCCACCAATCTTTGAAGTACTGTGGTATAAGGCAACCGATGGTAAGACTCAGGGAATATCGCGAGCATTTGCATAAACCTCAATATTTTTATTATAAGCCACCCTATCAGCATTGTGATTCTGTCTATTACTCTTACATTTTTAGCGATAACCGTTCATTCAAAAGCAACCGGCTTGTTCCTTTCCATTAGGTTGCACTTGTACCTCGCATGTTGTTCGCGTGGCCACGCGTCGCGCCGACGCGAGTGCGCGAAATTATCCAAGGTGGGGCTGGACCACTATCAATACGTATTAACCTTACTGACGCACTCCGCGCTTCCAAAGCATTTCACGTATTTCTAGGTGGTGGGTAAAATGCCGCTTTACAATATCTATAAACACCGCTGCGAAGAGCTAAAGTGCAGCACCACGGCTTGTAATGTAAAATCGTGTAGGGCGAGAGCTATGCGAAGTAATAGTTGGAGTCGCATCACCAACTTTGAACACGGCTTCTATGAATACATCACTCAAGTTGCTCAAAAGCCAATCAAAGTAATAATAAGACCCCATGAAATCTTTCTTTCAGATGAAGCAGCCATACCAGCCACGCGAAAATTCCTTTTTTCTAGTAAACTGAAAGTAAAACACTGCTCTTGAACACGCTATCAACTATCAACTACGAGAGAAACGGAGAACCATCGACACCATTTGCGCGACCCAAGGGTACGGTATAGCTTCCTGCTGTAAAATCAAATGACTTCTAAAACATAAACAACAACCTCCTTTGTAATTCGCGGAGTTCTTCATCCATTTCCGATTCAAGATTGTTTTTTCTTCGGAGAAGCTCATCAAGTGAGAGTTCACGCAACTGCAATATGCACAAAACTGATAACATGCGAAAAAAAGAACATGAAGGATGTCAGTTATTTATTGGTTGCTAAACATAATCATTCAGAATTAATTTTTCCCCAAAAACTCAGAAAATCACTTTTATGTTGGCTGTGGACAATGCAATAAACTAACCCACTTGGATCCGCTCCTGCTAATCCTATCTTACTCTATTTGGGAGTTCCTAAAGTAAAAACTAAGCGACCTGTTGTCGCCTGTACCCCACCAATCCTTGAAGTATTGTGGTATAAGGCAACCGATGGTAAGACTCAGGGAATATCGCGAGCATTTTGCATAACCCTCAATATGTTTATTATAAGCCACCCTATCAGCATTGTGATTCTGTCTATTACTCTTACATTTTTAGCGATAACCGTTCATTCAAAAGCAACCGGCTTGTTCCTTTCCATTAGGTTGCACTTGTACCTCGCATGTTGTTCGCGTGGCCACGCGTCGCGCCGACGCGAGTGCGCGAAATTTCCAAGGTGGGGCTGGACCACTATCAATACGTATTAACCTTACTGACGCACTCCGCGCTTCCAAAGCATTTCACGTATTCTAGGTGGTGGGTAAAATGCCGCTTTACAATGTCTATAAACACCGCTGCGAAGAGCTGAAGTGCAGCACCACGGCTTGTAATGTAAAATCGTGTAGGGCGAGGAGCTATGCGAAGTAATAGTTGGAGTCGCATCAACCCCACTTGAACATCCCTCTGTACAAACCACCATTACAGAAATTAAAGGAAGTGGTCACGATAATTTTCATGGAACGATAAGGAAAGCTATGTATTGGAGTGGATAGGGTCCTGCCCAATGTTAGAACACGTGAAGTTTCAGTGGCAGTGGCGCCTTATCAACGGAGTGATAAGGCGCCGAAATCCACTTCCGTTCAGCAAAAACCAAGACTTATCGATGTGGAAAGGGGTGCGATAAGAGCGTGCTAGAT